TAGGGTTAACCCTGCCTGCTGTAAACATAGCAATTTCAGAGAAAAGGGTTAATCCAGCCTCTAGTGGGAATCATTGATTTTCACAGTGAGAAGACGCCAGCGTCCATAGGAAAGCATTGAGAATGCTTTCCTATGGACTGATTGAATGCACGCACGGCTCTTGTCGCGCATGTGCATTCGGCGGAAGAGGGAGAAGAGTCTCCAGCTCCGAGGGAGCCCGGCGCTGGAGAAAGATAAGCCTTTAACCCCTACCTCCCCCTAAGCCCGGCGGGAGGGGGGCCATGAGGGTGGGAGGGACCTATTAACACTATAGTGCCAGGAAAACAAGTTTGGCAAATTCACATGTGGTTTCAAGGAGTTAATATAGTGGTGCAATTGAGTATAAATATGTATCGTGACTTATTACAAAGTGCGGAAAAGTCAAATAGATTTTCACCAGGAAGTAAATCACCTACCAATAAATGTATTATGTGCCCCAGTATTATAGTTAAAGCTCCATTTTTCATTAACCTGAAATATCGTTTATTCGAGAACCCTGGTGGAAACTATCAATTTTATTCCTGTTTTGGATAATCTATCCCATATTTTAAGAGTCAGAGAGATAATCTTAAGGTGTCCTTTACATAAAGGATTTCTGTAGTTTTCTTTTTTTTCCAAGGCAATTAAGTTAGGGACACTTCAGGCACCAAACCAACTTCATCTAAATGAAGTTATGATTCCAGTGGGGCCCCTGGTAAGCTTATCTCTCAAGGGGTTAAACGGTTCTCGAACAGTTTAAGCCCTAAGTTGCCCTCCCCCCAAAGCAGAACCTGGCTTTTGATTTTTCAGATTCAGAAAGTGTGGAGTGCCACCGGGCAGGGGTGCCACTGATTGGCTGAGAGTGGTCAGGCTACTGTAGTGCTAGGAATAGAACTTTGTATTCCTAGCACTATAGTTTCCCTTCAAGCATGTGTGGGATAGGCATAAGGCTATTCTTAACACAATATAAAGCCATGGAAAAATGATAGTATTTAGAAAATTGAGCAGACTAGATGGGCCGAATGGTTTTTATCTGCAGTCACATTCTATGTTACTAGAAGGCAGACGAGGTTACTTGCTATGAGGAATGGGTAAAGACACACAAGAAAAATAACAGCATGTTCGGGGGAGAGGGGAATTAATGGATAAGATGCCTGTGTCGAAATAAACTAGCAGTAGTGGTGAGTGGTACTGAAATTAGAAGTTTCACCCAGGAAGATTTTAAATACTGTAAACAACCTTCCGAAAACAAAATTAAAGAATAACTTTATAATGTGTCTGGAAAGTGGTAAACATATAGTCATAAACAGAAACAAAACAAAATCACATTTTGGGTTTTGTCAAGCAGTGAGGTTCATCAAACTAGTTTTCACATTAGAGATTCTGCAAAAAAAACAAAAAAACTAATGTGGCCAAGGATATAATGTACAACTAATGAAATAACTCTTCTGACACTATTTCAATGTTTCAAGTTTCAAATTCTCAAAATGACAAACCATATTTATCCAATTATTCTACTCCCAAATATAGAGCAATTTAGTGAAAATAATAGTAACATCTCACTTTAAAAAAAATTATCACTCAGACCTTATCTTCATCAGCAAGCCTGCTATTTTTCCACTCTTAAGCAATTTCTTTATGCACACAGCAAAAAAAAAAAAAAAAAAAAAGAAGGGGGGGAGAGAGAGAGAGAGAGAGAGAGAGAGAGAGAGAAAGGAATCTAACACAGCCACACCTATGAAAAGTCCACTTTCATTTTGGGCTGTAGCTCTGACTCAAACAGCTGCACAAGGCTTTCCCAAAGACATTCTGTATCAGAGCATGATTTCAGCCAATCCGCATGAACAGTCCTACCTTCATGAGTGGACATAACCAACTTCTCCCCCCTTATAAAGTTCTTAATAGCTTTCAGAGTTTTTCAGATAGAGAAATGTCTCACGGCAATAGGAAATAGGAAATGTAACAGGGGCTACATGAATAAGCCATTACTCCTTTGTGATATTTACTAAGTAAATGTAAATAAATTATATTGGTTACTAATATACTTCAAACTAAAATGGTATTTGATCCAAAAGCAGACTATGATGTGGGCATAACATCCTATTTAAACAACATTTTTATTTTCCATTTGTAAAAACACAGATTATAAGCACTTCAATAGTATCAGTGCAAAAGTATACAATATTAACATTATCAAACATGCTAGAACTGACCCTATTTGGAACAATTGGCAACCCCCAGTGTGTAATATAATCACTTATCTCAATGACCTTTGAAAGCTATGAGAAAGTCTTTAACTTTAGAATACTGATGTTTATTAAAAAAAAAAAAAACCCTTTCCAACTGTCTATGTAAAGTAAACGAAAGAAGACCCTGAAAAACCTTCAAAGGAACAGCTTAGATCTCATCTGGGTGTGTACACATTTTATTTCCTTCTTCTAGTGTGCAGTCTCTAGCTGTCAAGCATGCTGCCTGTGCAAAAATGCAGATAAAATGATCACAAAATATTTGAAAAAAACATCACATTTCTGAAAAGACACATTCAAATAAAAAGGATATCTACAGTGGCAGTGAGATTTAATGTGCATAAAAGAAGATACTGAGCAACTTTTAAATAAGTAGATCTTTTGCCAGCAGGAAATAAAAGGAAGCCTAACCTTTCGCAACTTCTCTCTATTTTATGACACTAAAATACCACAGATGTTATGAATAAGCGAATAGTACTTTTTAAGGGCCATTATAAAACACAAGCGAATAATCAACCTTGGCAATCTTGTGTATGCAACTTTTAAACTAATTCCCAAGTCTCTCAGTGCTAGACATGTGTAAATACAGACAGCATTTAGCATTAGTTGTATACAATCTCTGCCTTACATGGTTACGGTTCTCAAAACTAAGAATTTATGAGCATAAGCGCAAAGGCTGAATAATAATCAGTGTTTAAGAAATATGCCAAACAGTGCTGGCGTCACTGTTGCTTTCTGCTACCAAGTCAAATTAACACATCCACAAGTGTGATACTTGTTATACATTGTAGAAAAATATATTTCGCCTTTCTAATGACTTTATTTGCATTTTAGCAAGTTCCACACTATTTTTTAACTCAATTACTGCTAGAAGACAACAGTTCATATTTGATCCATTTACTGTCCCTGAGTCACAGTGTGCTTATATGCAATACATCTATTTATATTAAACTTAAATACATACAGGATAAATAATAATAATAATAATAATAATAATAATAAATGTTTAAATAAAACTGCTGCCAATGATTTAGGCAATGGGAGCAAAGATTTCAGCATAAAATGTCATTACTGCGTCTATGGAGCATACTAACGTCTCATCAATATTTGTGATTTTATAGAATTCTTAAAGAATATTTTCCTTTTTTCCTACATAACACAATAAAAATAAATCTGTCAAAACTGTGCATACCATTCTTAAATTCGGCATAATGGGTTTTACATAAATCTAGCAGGAGGTTGTTGGTTTAACTCTGACAGAGGAGAAAAGTGTCTTTGAAAACAAAAGGAAAATGGTGCCAATGTGAGATCAGCTACTTCCAGCTCTTATCACATGTACCACCCATTACAAGCATGCATAAAATCCCAGCAAACAATGACAATGCCAACATGTAGACAGGAAGAGCAAGTTTATGATCTAGCAAACCCTATCAATTTGTTTCCGTAGCCCTTAAAAGAAATTGAAAAGAGTAAATGTTGCAGATTGAATCCACCCAAAATCCAAACTTGTGATTACAAGTGAATCGATATGATCAATACCCAGAAAAATAAATAAATAAATAAATATATATATATATATATATATATATATATATATATATATATATATATATATATAGCCTTGGGAGGAAAGAGCATCCACGTCTAATAGAACTTGTTAGGACACAGCAGGGCTCCACCGCGGAGATCTCAAAGTACAAGAGCTTCTGCTGACAGAAAGATGGGAGGATTTATTGTGAACGGGTCAATGGGGCAAACAGCGGTTTCATTGAGTTAAATACATTTAGACGGTCCATCCATCTAACGCTAATGAAATATTAATTCTGTGAATACAGTTCGGAAAAGAGCGTGTGCCTATACCTTTACTAATGACGTTACATAACCGACAACAGGTGCAAAGACCGAATAGTCAGCTTTTAGAATGAATACACGTCACGCTCTTTTAAGCAGGGTCAGTGTGTGTATTTTTGGTTTATGGAACGTTCAGCGATTCCCTATAGAACGTTCCAAGACTCTATTGGGAAGGGATGTTCTGGCACTTTAGAATACAGAGCATTATTTTTCAAAGAGATCGCAGTACCCAATTATCGAGTGTAGTCTGGGAATATACAAACATCCATCCACACTATACGATAAATACAGAAATCCACTTCGTGTCCCCTGTTACATACGGTCAACGGGCTAGCAAGGAGCTTCGCAATATACATTGTTTCTAACTGCGTGTACAATCACTTTCGTTTTGCGCACACACACACACACACACACACACACACACACATATATAGTACTTACAAATATAAATATACAGTCAGGGTGCCAAACGTTCTGAAATTGTAATACAGAGGAGCAGGCAGAGAGCTGCTGTGAGCCCAGGATGGGAGGCTGTGAGCCTCGTGTTGCACGCAGTGTATGCAGAGAGTGACTCATTCAATCTATACTGGGCACATTCCTCATTTCCAGCCCCATGACTGCCTGCGATACACCCTTTCATTGCCACAGGGCAGTCAGCACTCACGGGGTTAAGCACTGTATCCGTTCGGTAAGTCGAAACCAGGGAGAGTTAAGACACTAGTGGGGCACTCAAGCTCCTCTGAACTGCACTTCCCAGGATGCTCAGCCGTCCCAGATACAGCTCAGATGGTGGCCGAGCTTTGTGGGAAGTGTTGTTCTCAACAGCTGGAGTATTCTAGCCTTACCCAGGAGGGGTGTCCGTGGTCGCGGTGTGAAAGTTGCCCCGTGTTGGGCAGTAGGAGGAGGGTTTGGAGAAGTTACGCAGTTACCTGCTCGGTGTCCGGGGGAGCTCGGGTCCTGGCGGTGTCCGGGGGAGCTCGGGTCCTGTCAGGAGAGCCGGCTATGATGAAAGGGAGGGAGCAGAGGAGCAGCCCTGCACGCACTGTCCAGAGTGGGGGAGAGATAAAGAGAGCTACTGCTTGCTCTCCAGCCCCGGGGTGAAAGGTGTCAGAGAGCGGTCCCGGCTGCCGGAGGAGTGGGGTCCCGGCTCCTGTCAGCTCTGGGGGAGGAGGGTCCGGCTCCTGTCAGCTCTTGGGTAGAGGGGGGAGGAGGGTCCGGCTCCTGTCAGTGGGGAGAGTGGAGAAGCTGTCAGTTCCAGCCGGGGCGGGAGAGGGAGTCCCGGGGGCTGTCCCCGCTCACAACAGACCTTATCGCAGGAGGAGAGCTTCCTGGGTCCCGTCAGCTCGCCTGCCACAAAGTGCCCCGCGCTGGCTGCTGTCAGGACTACGCGCGAGGCGAGGCTGAACCTTTTTGACCCCTCGCGGCCCCCATCCTTCCTGAGGGAGAGTTTACTGAGAAAGAAAAAAAAATGGAATCTTCTGCGCGAGGAACAGCTATCTCTGCTAAGCCCGAGCAGCCGCGCGCCGATACACTCTGCGATTACCAACTGTAGGCTCCGATCGACCAATCCACGCCCGATTGCTCTAGCCTGCTCGGAACGGGGAAGTGCGTGTTTCTTCTGTTATTACATTTTTGGAGACCACGTGAGTCTTTTTTTCTTTCTCAGGCTCCTCCTTGTTCAGTGACATTCTAGAGTCTGTGTTAACAACACGGCTATTTTTAGCCCATTGGGTTACTCCTTAACCCAATCAATGACAGGGCGAGTATAGTTAAAGGTCCATGTGAACTTTGACGCCTTCATAAAGGCACACACGTGACCATGTATTGTATGTGGAGCAGGGCTGGCTGCCCCTTGGCAGTGCAACTCCTGTATGGACTGTGGTTCTCATCATCCTTCAGCTACAAGAGCCCACCAAGCAACAAGAACTGCAGTACCAAAAGTTCTCTCTCTCTCTCCCCTCCAGAGACATACTTACTGCTTCACACACACCTGGCTATTGCTATCACCTCCAGCAGGGGTAGATGCCCAGCTGCTTTACAGCTGCAACTCTTCTTTTGTCTGTTAAAGCATCATAGGAGTTGTAGTTCTACAACAGCTGAAGGCCTTTCTTTTGGCTACTCCTGACCTGCACAGGGAGACTTTGTAGGTACTAGGCATTAAGATTTCAATACAAAGCTGGGGAAAAGCTGTTCATTGCATAATGCATTGCAGTACATCCTTTGTCATGATCTGGCAGAGCTCCCCGCATTGAGAGCAGGCTGACTGATGGAAATGGTATAAATGTGCAGTCATCATAGCTCTGGGGGCGTACGGAGGGAAAGTGGGTCATGCAATAAAAACAAATCGGCCTGATTTCCCAGCTACTTGTATTCCTTCAGTTTGGTTGCCTTTGGAATACTTTTCCTCTACTGCCCCCCAATGGTTTGATTTGGTCTCTGCGCCCTCTTACATTCCTGGCAGGTAAAGTGTCAACGAGCAAAAAGTTGAAAAAAAGCTTTGCTTTTATTCCAGTTTATGATTGGTTGAATAAAACATAAAGGGGGCGTTTATTACCTCCAATGACAACCACCGCCCAGCCACCCACCAAGCAGGGCTTAGTCAGAAACAAATCTGAAGTCAATGACGTCAGCCTCTCCTTCCAGTCACTGCAATGCCTGTCCTAGATATACAATGCAAGCTGCATTTAAATCACATTAACAGTCACCCTTCAATTTATGTTCTTTATTGGAGATCAGAGTGAAATCATGTATGTTTATCTCTGTTAGGGTTATTAACTAACGTACGAATTGAGGAGAAACTCAATGTGAATTTTCAAAATGTAGGTCAGTATATCCAAAAAAAAAAGAGAAATACATTTCCAAGTCAGCTGTTTTCAGCTTGGCTATTGTGGTCTAGAAGAAGGGTAGGCAACCTTCAACACTCCAGATGTTGTGGACTACATCTCCCATAATGCTCTTACAGCCAAAAACGCTGGCAAACCATCCAATTCCCCACAAGTTACATTTTAGTAAGTAACCCTATCTGCCAGTTTGCTCCTCATTCCCTCTAAATGCAAATTCTTTAGAGCAGGACTCTCAACCCCCTTTGATGCTGTGCGTCCAATTAGTCTTGTTGCCTTTACAGGTCTGTTAGTATTGTACAGCGCTACAGAATTTGTTGGCACTTTATAAATAATAATAAGTCACTGTTAGAGTACCCCATGGAGACATTATCACAACAAAACAAACCGCTCTTTGCCCCCAATTCCTAAATCATTATGGTAATGCCAACCACTCGCTATAAAGCGTTTGCTCTTTTCCTTCTGAGCCTGAGCTTTATGAATAATTTAGTTCAAAGCTGATCCTAAGTCTCAGTGGGGAAATGAACAGGGATCCCGCAATCCCGCATGGAGGACCCCTTCCTGATTCGCTTGCCTGTTTTTTTGTTCGTTTTTTTTTTTTTCTTCGCGACTGACCAACTAGCGCCTGCTTAAAAAAGTTCCTATAGATCGGGTGTGCGCACTAACACTCTTTGATTGTGAGTGAAAGTACTGGTTGTAACATCGCTTTTGAGTTAGAAGAAGATGTTAAGCCGCACGGTGCGCCCGCCTTTAACTCTGTTGCTGTTGCTTTCTTTTCAGGCATCGCAGCGGGCAGCCCGCAGGAAGTTCCAGGAAGTGAAGCTGCTCTGAGGACCCCGTTGCTGTGCGGCGGCTGTTGCGGTGTATCCTGACGGGCGGGCGGCCAGTCAGTCGGTCGGTTGGTTACCGAGGTGATAGTAGTACTGTTGTTGTGGCGGCTCGCTCTCCGGCCTGTGGCCGCGGGAGGGATTGAGGAGCCCGGATTGGGGCGGCCGGTCAGTCTCCGTTGGATTGTTATTGTTGTGTATCGGGGACCATGAGCTCGGCGGGGGTGCTGTCCCCGGCCGCCGCCGCTGCCACCGATTACTACGAGGAGGAGGAGCTGGAGAGCGCGGAGGAAGAGGATGACCGCAGCTTTCGAGGACGGGAGTCCGATGAGGGTGAGCTCCCGGGAGACAGGACTACATGGAGGGGGGCGGGGGGCTTAGCTGTGCTCCTACCCCAGGACATCGGCTATTTACTAAATCCCGAATGGCGGAGACCTGGCAAGGAAATGTAACTCATAGAAATATATCTATATATAGGCCAAACATAGCCTAATTGGAATATCACTATTTTGGTTTAAAAGAACACTGAACACCAGGGGAACTACAGTAGTAGGCTGTGCTGGTTATGGTGTTACACAGCTGAAAAGAGACATGCGTCCATCAAGTTCAGCTTTTCCCATATTTATTTTTGCTGTTGATCCAAAATAAGGCACCAAAAAATCCAGTTTGAATTTTGCAACAAACTAGTAAAAAAAAATAATCAGATCTCTCCTTGGATCAGCTATCAGTACTTTCCTACAGAAAGAGAAGTCAAACCATTGTAAAACAGTTTGGCACTTACCTGGTAATTCAGGCACAATGTTGTGTGATATCACTAAAGTGGAAGTTCCCATTTCAAATTTGGTGTATCAGGTTTGTCTCCAGTATTGTGCCAACTGAGACTGTTCTCAGCCAATTAATGGTATCCAAATCTGGACAAAATTTATCCAGAGTTGATATTAGACATTCCGTTTTAGTGATATAAAATAAAACATAAAGAACTGCATGTGCCCAGGTAAGTGTCAAGCCATTGAAAATAAGTGTTTTTATTCCTTAGTGTGGAATAGTGCCAAGGTTCCTGCCACCATAACCAGTGCAGCAACCTGTAGTGGCTAGGGTGGCTTTTCCAGCTTGCACAACACTTTTATGCAGGAATGCAAAAAGTTGATGTGTTGTGCAGCGTGTCATATGAAGCTGGAGTTGCATATATGAATGGGTTAACATGATTGCAAATCGTATGAACAGTGTTGAGACATCACTATAATGATATTTGAATGTTCTTCATTTTAGATTTTAGATTTTTATGCACTGTGAGTGAAAATATAGCATTCTAAAGTCCCAATTGTAATTAAATATGCCTTGGTTTTATATATATATATATATATATATATATATATATTTGGGGAGTAAGAGTTGTAAGGACCTTGACGGTAAGCAGGAAGGTTTCACACAGTAGCTATAGATTATTTTAACATGCAAAATGACCATTGACTTGTCATACATCTCATGGTATACGTTATAGGGATTTGCCCTATTCTTAGTCTATGGTGGTTTGGTAAATCGTAGAATGATTGTTACGGAGCAAGACAATGACTTACACTCAACAAATACACTATGCCATGACATTTTGTAAAAAAACTATTTATAACTAAAAACTGCAATTGTCATAATGTATTCTGGCATTCTACTCGGCAAACTGTATGCTTGTGTCCTAGTGGGTATTACTTATTATCCCTCTCTTTTCTATTTCTGGCTTGTTCACTTCAGGGAAAAAAAAAGTTTACCTAAGGCTTTACCTGAAAAGAGAATGCAAAACCCACTCGTATTTTCAACTGCATGTTTCTAGATTTGAAATGCCACTTCATCAAAAGTAAAAAGAAACCCTCCTGTGATGTCATTAAAATTAAGTCAGAATTAATTGAATTGATCCACTGAAAATTCAGTGTTATGATTCTCAAAAAAATAATAAATTATTTGAAAAGGTAGCTGTAAGAACTACAGCTCATTGAAGTTATGGTGCAGTGAGTCTATAGGCAAGGCTGTTCAAAAGAAATCCTGGGAAAGGCACTCAGAGACCCTGAACACATAGTGGTTAAGATGCCCACAGTGCAGCCTTTAAAGGAACACTGCCATGTGGATTTTTATGCATTTTATAAATAATACTTTAATAAAAAAAAAATATATATACACTATATATATATATATATATATATATATATATATTTTTTTTTTATAATGCTGCTGATTTGTAGTTAATGTCTCAGTCAGTTCCTTACCATCTTTCTTTTGGCTATATGTTACTCAAGCTTACCTTTCGTGGTATTGGCAGTCCCCAATTTTGTCCCACTCTCTGCAGACACTTATGCAGGCAATGCTTCACTGCTCCGTTTTGGCATGTGTGGAGGTCTGTTTGGGAGAGTAAAATGCAACGATTAGTGGAAGGCAACAGTGTTTGCCAGTCATTGTCCTGTATAGTACAGATGCTTAATGTAACTGTACTTACTGTATGCCCACATACGTGACTGACCAGCACAAAAACATTTTTATAAAGTAGAAACTTAATTTATTATATATATATATATATTGCAATGTGTCATTTTGCTATGGGGGTTAGCAAGCCATTATAAACCTATTTTTTATTATTGTTATAACTTTCTTTGTTACTCCTCATAAAAATATAATGTAAACTACATTCCTATAAATATTTAATTATTTTGTTTAGATACTGAAGATGCCAGCGAAACAGACCTTGCAAAGCATGACAATGTGGACTATGTGGAAATGAAAGAACAGTATGTATTAAACACTGCAGTGCTGTGTCTTATATAAAACTTTTCAAAAGGATTGCGCTCAGATGTACTACATGCAAAAAGGCATGAGGTCCATATTTTTATTAAAGTATTTTAACCCCTTAAGGACACGTGACATGTCATGATTCCCTTTTATTCCAGAAGTTTGGTCCTTAGGGTGTTAAAGGACCACTATAGGCACCCAGACCACTTCAGCTTAATGAAGTGTTCTGGGTGCCAGGTCCAGCTAGTATTAACCCTTTCTTCTATAAATATGTTTATAATAGGGTTAATCCAGCCTCTAGTGGCTCTCTCATTGACAGCCGCTAGAGGCGCTTCCGCGCTTCTCACTGTGATTTTCACAGTGAGAAGACGCCAGCGTCCATAGGAAAGTATTCTGAATGTGCGTGCGGCTCGTGCCGCGCATGGCATTCAGCTGATGACGACAAGGAGGAGGAGAGTCCCCCGCCCGGCGCGGGAAAAAGAGGTAAATTTAACCCCTTCCATCCCCTAGAGCCCGGCGGGAGGGGAGCCCTGAGGGTGGGGGGGACCTAGAAACCCTATAGAGCAAGTATGTTTTACTGGCACTATAGTGGTCCTTTAAGGACCAAACTTCTGGAATAGAAGGGAATCATGATATGTCACACATGTCATGTTTCCTTAAGGGGTTAAAGGTACACTCCCGACACCTAAAGCATTTTAGCTGGTTGAAATTCTTTTGGACTTAACATGATGTCTACTTTGTGCCAATTTATACAAGTGCTCAAGACAAACCTGCACTTTTTGTGAATGCATTTAGGAAAATCCCCTAGCCGTTAAACTGACGGAAAGATTTACTTCCTAATTTCCCATGTGAAACATTCTGTTGGCTAATAACTGCATTTTGTTGGTGCATTTGTGGCAGTTTCTGCACATGTGCCAATTTTGGCCAGACAAAGATTTCCAGGGGCAGAGCAACAAAAAAAAACCATAAACCATAAAATGTGTGATTTGCCTGAAATCTAAAAAAAAAACACCCTGTACTTTAAAACCGAATATTGTTTTTTAACATTGGAATGTTTCCACATATTGGTAAGTTTATTTTGTAGGTTTTACACAAAAAAGAGCTGAATTCCATGGGACCTGCTGGACTAGGCTCTTGGTCCAACTGCCAGACCCAGTGACACAACACTGGGCTACTGTACTGACAGTTGTACTCCAACTTTAGAATAAAGTATAGTAAGCATCTGTCATTGTCTAGTTTGGTAGCTTCTTGTTAGCACCTTGCTATCCCACACAGCCTTACGATTTACAGTATTATCAAATGTGAACATATTGTTTATTCTAATTATTTTTAGGTTTTGTTTTTACAACCAAAAACAAAACCTAAAAATAACAACCAAATTAATAAAACCTACTCTACAAAAATGGATGCAACTCAAGAGTGGTATTTTCAAATCTCGTTTAGAATGCATAGATAATGTAATTTTATAATGCGTAAAGTGTACGTTGTGAAAGCATTTCATTTGCAAAATATCTTTTCACAGGATGTATCAGGACAAACTGGCATCTCTCAAGAGACAGTTACAACAACTTCAGGAAGGTAAGATTGTTATCAGGCGTTTAGGTGAAGTACAATTAAGGAAAGATCATTTGAAGTGACTTATGTACTTTGTAAGTTTACTTCCATAAATTTAAAATTACCCTTCAATCAAAGGGTTAAACCTGTGCCAGTGCATATAAGACACAGTTTGAGATTTTTGTAACACAGAAGAAAATGCGACAGAAATTTTGAAGACAAACCAACAATTGCAAATGTATGCATATCCCAGTTTAAGCAGCACTGGTTACAAGATCTGCTTTTGTGTAACCTCCCTGGTTTCAGTTGTCAGGATTGTATTTCTGTGCAGAGAGTAGCATATGGTTTGTAATACACTGACTGTCTTGATTAATAATTTCTAACAGAATACAGAGGGTGTGTTCACTAATGAAGTTTGGAACTTCTCTTGTAAACAGGCACGCACCAAGAGTACCAGAAACGCATGAAAAAGCTAGATCAACAATACAAAGAGAGATTACGAAATGCTGGTAAGTGGAATTACAATTAGATTTTGTAGTAAATCCTGACTTGGAGAGATGTGCTAGGACTTGGATCGCAGTTTTGGTGTGGTTGGTTATGATTGTGTTTAATGCATAACATTGAATGATTCCGCAATATTTCTTAACGTGACAACAATAATACCAGAGAAATGTGAGTGGTCATGTGTAGACAATCATATTTACCATATAATGTTATACCATGGTCTTTTCTGACAAATGATACCATGATTGCCATACATGCGCTGTTGCTAGAGAAATTTGGCTTCCTAAAGATTGTCTGAGCATTATGGCAAATACTGATCTCAAGCATCCATCGCACCAAATATAGCGTTTAAGAGTTTAATAAATCACTGGTTTTGGTTAGAATATCCATTCATATCATCTTATACGTGTGTGTGTGATTCTTTGTTGAACTAATTTGCATAAGCCCAGCCAGAATTCATTGCAGTAGTAACATCACTGCAAATTTGACATTTCTGTGGGAAAAACAAGTCTTATGACTTGACTGGTGTGCAGATCTGTGTTTAACAATGTATTGACTACACACACTCACTCACTCTCTCTTTCAAAATCAAAACAATACTTAAGGCTATCTCTGTTCCAAGGCCAAGTTCTCCACTTAGTCTGACCATTCTCTGCTGATGTCACTCTCCCTTGCTGGAAAAGGAGGGATGTGGGAGGAGGACATGAGTGGGGGGAATGGGCATGCCGCCATTGGACCTGTCACCAACTTGCATGCTGATATTCGATTTCTAGTATATACACAACTGGCATTAGCCTGCCCAGAACTCTTAGTCAGGCCTGGCTAATGATGCCTCAATGACGCTTCTGGGGTGGAGTTACCCATCCAGCAGCAAAGGGGTTATAATCTGTACGTGCATAACAAAACTCTGCATATGCAAACTTGAGGTACCATGATTACTTCAAATCATTGAAGTTGTCGTGGTGCCTAGAGTAGCCCTTTAAATGGTAGTATGTTGAACATGGTGTAGTAGGGGCTTCAAAGCATTGCTTATGTTTACCCAATGTCTCTGTAGAGGGAGATTGTTCTCAGAATCATAATAGGTATTAGATCTGTTTAAAGCTAGCAACATATTTTTTTCTTTATAACTATATGTATTTGAGTACGTTTAGCAACAACAAAACATGTTTGCATTTACTACAATCTTTCCATCTTGCGGTGGCCTTTTTAAATATGCTGCATGTTGCATATCTTGATCTAGGCAGGATTTGATCACAGCACCGCTCTTAGCTTGTACCCAGTGTATAGATGTAGCTAAGAGAATGACTAGGTTTTCTCTTGAGAATGATTCCATCTCTGGTTTTAATGCATAGACCTCTGTGGGTTTTAAAGAAGGTTGTGTCATTGTGCCTGTCTCTGTATAGCTCATATTTATCTAATTAGTGCTTGTTGGAATTTTTTGTATCATGTCAATCTTATATTCTATTTGCTTCTTTAAATTTGTAGTATTTTCTCATCAAATTAATTATTGTTTTACAATTTATTTTTTAGAACTTTTCCTGCAGCTTGAAGTAAGTAAATGTTTGTTGCTTGTTACATATTTAATGCCCTATAGCGTGTGTAGTATTAATAATTATGGGGAGCAGAGGTATGCAGTCTTACTCCCAACTCCTCGTATAATAAATGTTTTTCTTGCCATTTTAATAAGTTGCAAATAAGAGAAATCCGTATTGCATTGTGACTGTTGGAAGTATTTTGAAACTCACTTTAGGTATTGTAATAGTGTCATTAAAAAGACAATCCGATGACCAAAATTGAAATGTTAATGAAGTGATTTTCTGACACAGGTGCTGCCTTTGCGGCCTTGATGTTGTAAACGGTGACAACTGTGACTTTCAGACAGACCGCTTGTAAGGGCACTAGAATGAAGTAGATTAAACATTTCTGTGGGCTTTTTTTTTCTTTTCTTATTTTATGTGTAAAAATAAAATAAAAAATTATGGGTTGTCATAATATTAGAACATAGCCATGCATTATAAAATATTTACCCAGAGCCAAGACTTCTTTGAAGTCTTCAGCACCTAAAATTGATTTATTTTTTTTGCAATGCATAGACTGAGCAAGTGGAAAGGAACTACATTAAGGAAAAGAAAGCAGCTGTAAAAGAATTTGAAGATAAGAAGGTTGAGCTGAAGGAGAATCTGATTGCGGAGTTGGAAGAAAAGAAAAAAATGATTGAAAATGAGAAATTAACCATGGAATTGACAGGCGGTATGCTTCACACTGGATTAAGATATTATTTTTGTGGCAGTTTTATTGACCATTTATTTATTATAGTGTTCTGCTTAGAATGCATCTACTCTAAATTATTGGGACATTATATATATATTCTCTTTCCAGAATTAACATGGCTTCTTGTGATGTAGTATTACCCCTCATCACCTCAGAAAAGCACCTCCTTTTTTATCAAAATATTGCACACTACATTTTTTTAATTCTCTGATAGGTATTTTACTGGTGATTTTGTGCAAAGGTAAAAAAAAAGTATATTGAAATGTTATTTTTTTTTGTACATAAATTGTTGATAACATACATTTTTGAGAGATTTATCATATTATTGTTAGAGATCTCTATAGCTGTACCTGAACATTTTCCCATACCATGGAAACGGGTAAAATAAAATAACGGTGAATGCACATGGGTATCCTGTTAAATAAATTATTACACATTGAGGCCTATGACAGAGAGCTCTTGGGATCTCTAAATTTACCCTATATCCCTGCATGCCCAAGAGTGCAAAGCAAGGGGTCTGTATGCTATTGAAAGACTGCAAGCATCCACTTTAGGAAAAAACTAAAAAGAGCTGGTTTAATTACCCCCTTTGCATACTCTTGCACTTATCTTTCCTATGACACATTGCTTTTGTTTTTTTTTTTTGCTAAAAGGATTTAGGTTACTGGAAGCATTTTTGAGCTACGACAGTTAAGACTCGTGATGTTTTCAGCGTGTTTTTTGTGTCTCAAACTCAAGGACTGACCCTTATACCAATCATCGTTTTCTTTAAAATATTAAGGTTATGCCCAGAGCTCATGTAATTCTTTAATAATTGAAAATGGCTGGTTAGATAAGAAAAGAACTTGTTCTCATCTCAGTGTATGGTATTTTAGAATATCCTCAGCCTGTGTCACCATTAAGACTCCTTAAAGGGACACTACAGTCACCAGAACAACTACAGCTTAATTTTGTTTTTCTGGTGAGCGTAATAGCTCCCTTCAGGCATTTTAATGTAAACAGAGAAAAGACCGTGTTTACATTGCCCCTAGGGACAGCACCAAGTGGCCACTCCTTAGATGGCCACTGGAGGGGCTTCCTGGCTCGGGGATGCACAGTAAGCAGCCCTGCTGTTCAGCGTCCCCACGCTTTGAATGGGGACACTGAATTTTCCTCATAGAGATGCATTGGTTCAATGCATCTCTATGAGGAGGTGCTGATTGGCCAAAACGGCGTTTGGCCACGCTCCTTGCCAATTTTGATGTCATCAAGGGGGTGGGGCCAGCGCCGGCGGACCTGTGGAGAGCTGAAAATAAGGTGAGTTTTAACCCATTCTGAAGGGGTAATGGGGGGGTTGGGGGGGGGGAGGGAAGGCAAGCCACCTAAATGGTGGATTTTCACTATAGGGTCAGTAATACATGTTTGTGTTCCTGACCCTATAGTGATCCTTTAAGCCCTTAAGGACACATGACATGTGTGACTTGTCATGATTCCCTTTTATTTCAGAAGTTTGGTCCTTAAGGGGTTAACCTAATGTTGCATTTTATAGTACAGAATGTTAGTTTCTAATGTATCTTTATTTACAGATTCCATGGAAGTTAAACCTATCATGACACGCAAGTTGCGTCGACGACCCAATGATCCAGTCCCAATTCCAGACAAGAGGAGAAAACCTGCTCCTGATATCCTTTATGTAACCAGAAACTAATTATATGTGGGTGTCGAGTAATTCAGTGATGGTAATTTGTATGTAGAAAATAAAATCATAAGATCTCAGAAGTATGAAGTGGATCCTAAACACATTGCTGAGAATAAGTAGGACATAGGTTAATAGTACTTTGCGCTCTAAGGCTGCTTACCTGTGTAGATGCCTGGAGTGGGAAGTGATTGCTGCCCTCCCTCAAATCCTAGCTCCCTTTCAGCAATTGTACATTTATTTATTTTTTTAAATCACATAGGTTATGCATTCCTAGACACACCTTCCCTGGCTGTGACTGCTACAGTAACCTACCTTTGATGGTGGTGATTGGCTAAAAGTGCTAGGCTAACCCAAGCACCGCTCTCTCAGACAATCCGTGCCGTCCAAGTAGGGCGATATTGATAATGCAGTAGTGTTAACTATACAATGAGATGAGGGTGGTTGTTAGGTGCGGAGATGAGCCCTGGTGTATATTATACAGTACCTGAACAGTTTGATATGAAATTGGGAAACAGTGCTAGGGTAATCAAGATTACATAACAAGTACAGCAAACAGATTACCACATCATTTACCCACAGTTCTCGTACTGTCTGATTTGTTATGGATTGTTGATTTGAAAAGTAAGCAATCCTTGCCTTCTCTATACTGAAAGTATAAACAGGTTCTTACTGCAAAGGAGCCGTACATGCAGATTGTTTTTGTTGTTTGTAATTCAGCTTTCCTTAATTTGCTGCACCTCAGCTTAATTACTTGTTGACTGATGAACAAATCATGGAAGACTTGAGGACACTAAACAAAGTAAGATTAAATGTGTTCATTCATTTACATCAATGTAAAGCAGAACTGGTTTCTAGTTTGAGTACATTGTAATGTAGCTAGAAAACACATGTTAAGTTTCTAACAAAATGCATTACCTAGGGCATTAGTGAATGAATAGGTACACATTAGGTCCTTGCATATGTTGATGGCCAGAAATATACACTTGTGCGTTCCTAATGCTTTAAAAAAAAAAAAAAAAATCTGAGAGAAGCAATACCAAATCCAGAAATCATGACGTGATGCATTTTAGCCTATTTAGTGATGTAATGTACTAATGTGTTGCTTAGAGCTTTGTGCAGACACAATTTAATGTACTACTCTGAATATATAATAAAAAAAGAGCAACAGTAACTTACGTATATCCGTCTTTATCTCATTATCCATAATTTTAATTGTGATTAAGTCCGAATACATTTTTGGTTTCTGGTTTTCATTTAAGAGCCTTTCTCTAAAATGCAGACTTTTTGCAGGCAATTTGCAAAACCTTAACATGTAACATTTTTGTGTGTAGTGTCTTATAGAAGACCTACAAAGGCATTTATGAACCTTTAAAAAGGTAATTGTTCACCCAGTGTATTTTAATGATGATGTCAACTGTGTTTCCACCAAGCTGCAACACAAAGCTGAATTTCATAAAATTGTTGCTTATTAGTTTATTTTCTTTACAGATTGACAGTGTTGGTTTTTTTTCTTGTAAAGGGACACTCAAGGCTGTAGGTATCCTCCACTTAATGGCTAATGTCTATAATGCTTAATAAGGAAAAGTCCAAAATATATTTACTTGTATTGTTTGTTTGTTTTAATATCCTTTATTTAGAGCAAATGCCCAGGATCTTCTATTTCTGACACCAATTGTTGCCCTTCCTATGCTTTCAATATATCACATGAGCCACAGAACCTCTATAACAGTCAATTATTCATTTATTTTGTGGTGATGCTATCATTAGTGTAATCCAGCTATTGGGTTCATATTGATGGACCTCTCTCATGAATAATGGTTAGTTGCATGAGTAGATAAATACCTAACTCCAAAATATGCTTCTATTGTATAAAGTGACACAAATGGAGATGATACAATTAGTTAAAAAGTCAAGTAAAATTGCAGGAAAACTTTTTTTCTAGGGTTAAGATGCATTTTCACAAACTCTAGGAGACATCAGCAAGTGCCATTGTGCCTTTCACCATCATAGACATTGATTAATTGGCATACATAACACACTGTCAGAATTATGAAAAAGCCCTACAATTTTCATTGGTTGTTGATGAAAATTTGAATAGTTTGCCATGTTTTAACAATATATTTTAAACTTTACTTGACAAATTATGGGCAAACAAGAGACCTTAGTGTATATTGTGGTGTGACCTAAACCTGGCCTGAAGACTTCCACAGTACTTTTTATTTGCAGGACCTATATGTGATGTTTCAGTCACAGTATACTGGTTAATTAGGTGTTTACATTTTTAATTCTTACTCTTGTCTAATTAGATTTTTGTTGCTCTGAGACCCTACTCTGATATGTAATGTCCTAGCTGTCATCAGTAACAATGGTTCTGTACAGCTTCTGATAAATGTATAGTACATGCTAGCATAAGTTCTTTTAAGAACCAGAAAATGATGGTGATATTCTTCCATAAATTGGAATTCAGATAAATTTTAAATTCTCGGCTGAAGCAACTGAACTGACTGGCTATATTAAACATGAAATTGAATAAACATTTTTTTAGTCATTAGTCCTTAAACACTGTTTCTCTCTGCAATTTCTCCTGCTGTTTTTATATATATATAATTTTTTTTTTTCCTTTCAGTCAGTTTACACTAGTATCTGATCTTGCTTTACAAGCACTTATGTAATCATATATTTTCATGGTAACTTAGATCATAGAGTTATATACCACGTGTCCCATTTGTTCTCTCAAAATATGCTTACATTTATGTTTTTCTTATTTATTTTCACCTTTCTTGCAGTTAAAATCTCCAAAGAGGCCTGGTAAGTTGCATCTACAATACGAGGGTGATGTTGATAACTTGAAATGTGATGGATATTATAAGCACTTCTAAGAGGTTGCATACATAACAGGTTTTAATAATGTATATAAATCAAAACTCCCAGAATCCTTTGAATGCAATAAATTGGCATATAATCTTTACAATTGTAGTTCAATAACATTGGGTGGGAGTAATTGCCTGATTTAAAATGGATATAATTGGATAAAACTATTTTGTCTGTGATTTATTTTTTATTTTTTTCTTTGCAGCAAGTCAAACTAAATTGAAATACGTTTAAATTGATTTAATCTTGGCATTTTAATCACATTTCTTACAATAATTTTCTATATATATATAGGTACCTTGATAAAGACCCAGTAGGGTTGAAACGTTGATGCAATTATATTGAAATATATTGACAAAGTCTTGTCTTGATCTTTTTTAAATTTAGCGCGGGGAAGCACCCAGGTCATCGATATATCGACATCTTAGCATGTGACTCGCATAGCCTGCCTAACCACTCCCTGTAAAGAGAACTTTTAGACTTCTTTTTTTGCACATTGTAGTTGATTTAGAATTTATATTCTCCTGATCTGTTAATGGCCTTCTATGCCCTGCATAAATCTCCTGTGTGTGTTTTAAAGTTCAATTTACAGAGCAGAAGATAAAAGAAATTGAAAAGCAAGTTAAGACCTGATTAAGAATGAAAACATATACGTGCAGGGAGTGTGAGTCACAGCCAGGGGAGGTGTGGCTAGGGTTGCACAAAAAGAAACACAAGTGATTTAACTACTAAATGGCAGAGAGTTGAGCAGTGACAATGCAGGGGCATGATCTATACAGTAAGAAAGCTAGTCATTTTTCTCATTAAATTACCTCTCAGAATAATTCAGGCAGCCTCTGAAAACTGCATTTTTTTTTTTAAACAGTAAACAATCCTGATCATTTTGACACTTTTTAGGGCAGCCATTTTATCACCAAAGCATTCTAATTGGAGTGATGTTAGACAGTATACAACATTACATTTATTACCAGACCTTTAATAAAAACAAAATACAGGTTTGTTGGTACACCGTGTGCAATTGTCCCACAAAGCCAATGCTGTGTATGGTCTTGCTGGTTCCAAGTGCTTCATACAGTATTACAAAAGTATTAAGGAGAACAAAAGGGGGATGCATTTCACAAATTTGAGATTTATCTCCGTCTCAGGATTTTATAGTACTAATTTGCATTTAAAGAACGCTTACTGTGAATTTGCTGTAACATTTTCATAGACTTCTATTCTGATAACTGTTTTAGATTAAATGATATAGAGAGACATCTTAATGGATTTATAACTTTACTGTGTTTCTCCACTTCAGTATCCCCATCAACCCCAGAGCATCTTCCAGCCACACAAATTGAATCACCTGCCCAGCGTTTTGAGGCACGAATAGAAGAAGGGAAACTCTACTATGATAAGAGATGGTATGTTGTATTGTGTGATGAAATCCATGCACTATAAAGTGTTTTTACACCTTCCTTAAGAGACTTTGGAAAATGAGCAGAACACATTTTTGCATCATCTGTGATATGTTAGAACATTTTGTCAGATGACTAAAAAATTTAGATGGAGTAGACACTTTCTTCACATGGATATATTTTAGGTGGTAAAGATTTGCAATATTTTTCTTCATTTGCCCAAGTGGAAATTAAAATTCCTCAAAATGCAAACTGGTAATCTTTCTTACCTTATCTTCCAACTGTGAACAGTTTATGCATCTGTCACAGAACCAGAATTAGGTAACACAATGATATTGACTTGGGTCCACAACCGATATTATCTAGAAGTGCATTATTACTTGAGGTACACATAATTATGTTTTAATGTTATTCCTTGTCCAGTTTTTACTCTTGGAACAAAGGTATTTCATTTAATGAAAACATTGTGCAAAATTTAAAATGTTCCACCTAAGATCGGGTTAACCTACTTCAACTTTTGGTATAAAGCTAAATTGTACAATCCAGAAAAGCATTTAGATGGATTTATTGAGATCTCTCTGGTGTGATACATGACATGTTGGATCTTTTAATTAGATTTAAGCTAATTTTCTCTTTAATTTTATCTCATGGTTTTAGTTTAAAACTGAAATCCAATATAATTGCATTTGTAAGTTATGTGTACAGGTGTATTATTGTCATGTAAGTTGTGATAGTTTGTGTAGCTAGATGGACCCAGTACAAACCAGTATTATAGTTAGCTGAACATTAAAGTAGTTCCATGTGAGAGAGAAAAAAGTATTAGGGTATTTGTGACACCAGCATTTAGTTATTTTAACATAAAGGTTTATTGAATTTAATGGCTCTTAAATTTAAATACATTGCATTAGCATCTTCATTTGGCTCTCCCCAGGTTTTGATAGGGCTCCATTGCACTGGGGAAGGCAACACAAAAATGTAAGGAAAACAATAGCTAAGCAGTTTAAATAAATCACTAGACATTAGTTTGACACAAAACACTGCTTATTTTATTTTGTCAACACTATACACTTTTTTGTTGTTGTTGTTGTTACATTTTAAAGACACATTTTATACTGCACACTGATTCTGTTTAGAGACTTTTACATTTTCTTTATTAGCACGTCAAAACCTAACAAGCAAGGTTTTCTGCAGTTGTATGCTACAATACATGACTCCAGTTTTCTACTTTCCAGTCTCAGACAAGTGACATTTCAGTCCCAAAATGTTAGAGATTCATCAGGTTAGGGTATCATAGAACCTCCAGGCTTGCAGTGGCAAGTAACTCTTAGGCCTGTCTAGGAGTATAGGTCATGACATTTTAAGCCTTTCTACAAATCTACTAATTCGGTTTTATACTAGACTTCAAGAATAGACTATGTAGTATCAGTGGATATTACGTTATTATGGTATAAACACTTCTTAAGTGTGTTTTCATAAAACTGTAGAGACAAAATCTCTCTATGATTTATGATTCCAGATTAATAAAATTGTTAAATATAAAAAGCTAATACCTGTATTTGTTATGAATGTTTTACGGAACTGTTCCACAAGGTGGCAATGTGCATTCAGTAGTGTAGCTCTCTGTAGTTAACAAAAGGAAAACCTTTATTCACAAATTTAAATTTCATGGGAATAGCACAATGAGAATCCACAGACACATTTATCAGACTCTCTATTTGGGAATATTTAATTGTTGATTCACAGAGAATCAACATACCATGAGCAATGACTATAGGTTGTAACCTCAGTGATTTGCATCTCACTTTATTGAGAAGATCGACCAAATTATAAATGCAGTCTCCCTTCTTTCCTCTTCCCCTCCAATAATCGACTTCCATTCTGTACCTTCATCCACTTTTTACTCCTTTCCCCCTGTCTTGGAGCAGGAGGTCTCCAAACTTCTCATGTCCTCTAGCCCAGGCACATGCCCTCTTGATCCTCTCCCCTCCCATCTTGTACAGTCTCTTTCCCCTAGTCTGATTCCATCTCTAATGCATATTTTCAACCTCTTTATCTACTGGTATTTTCCTCCTTTTTCCCTCAAATACGTAATTGCTAAACCCATCCTGAAAAAGCCATCTCCAGATCCTACCTCTCCTTCTAACTATTATCCAATATCACTACTCACCTTTACTTCTAAGCTTCTTGAGTGGGATGTTTTAACCTGTCTAACTCACTTTCTCAATACTAACTACCTACTTGACCCTCTTCAATCTGGCTTCCGCTTCCTCTATTCTACTGAAACTGCCCTTACCAAAATTACTAATGACTTAATTCCTTCTAAATCTAAAGGTCATTACTCTCACTTAATTATCCTGTACCTCTCTGCTGCCTTTGATAGTGTTGTCCACTCTCTTCTTCTTGAAACCCTTCACAATTTAGGACTTAACGACATTGTGCTTCTGTGGTTTTTATCCTATCTTTCTGAACAATCATTTAGTGTCTCTTGCTCAGGTGCCACCTCCTCACCACTGCCTGTCTGTTAGTATTCCCCAAGGTTCTGTTCTTGGTCCTCTTATATTCTCTCATCTGCATTGCATTTCTCAGTATTAACTCTTTTGGATTTCATTATAATCTGTATGTTGACGATACACAGATTAACCTCTTCTCCCCTGACCTCTCTCCGGTGCTTCTGGAGAGATACCCGCATTGCTTCTCTTCAGTTTGTAAGGAGTCAGGTTCATCTTCCAGACTATAAAAAGAAAGGGAAAAAAAAAGTTACTTGTGCACTATCCCAATCTCATCTTCCTGACTGACCGCTATTCATACACCTCATCGCTTTGCCATCCATTAAATTGACTTCCTGTAACTTTCAGGATCCAATTCAAACTGCTAACACTAGCCTGCAAAGCCCACAGTAATTCCACTCCTCACTAAATATCCTATTTACTCAACAGATATCCCCCCCCCCCTTTTTTTTTTTTTGTTCCCTTTACTTTGTAAATGACCATCTCCTGATAATTGCTTGTACCCACACTGCCGACTCTGATCTGCTGGATTTTTCAAGGGCTTCCCTGTGTCTTTGAAATTCATTACCCCGTGCCATCAGATTCTCCCTTAGTCTCCAGGGCTTCAAGAAGTCACTAAAAGCACACATCTTCATGAAAGCTTACCATCTTAGTGGGTGACACTTCTCTCATTTCACTGCTCAGTGGGTTGTTCATTTTGTTTAATGTTCAATACGTTCAAGTGATGACATGACCTTATTAAACATTGTAAAAAGAAAAAAAATAATACATCCAGGAGTGGTTAGCGCTTCCAGTGTGTGTGTGAGAAACCTGGAAGAGATGTGAGAGCATAAGTTGTCATAAGGGGAAAAAATTTTTTTTTTTCTTTTTAGATAACAATACTTTCACAGAGCAAAGGTTAGAAGTATTAAATCCCCTTTGGTTAGATGCACTGTTTATCCATCCAAGACCATCCAATTAAATAGTGAACATTTGTGGCTCTGAACATCATGCACAAGCACTGGGTATCTCAAAAATGCTCTTGGAGATTGTTTCAGCCGTGTGAACCGTCAAGGTATTCAGTTGACTAAATGGTGCAATTAACAAATGGGGACTTAAATCTGGCATTTGTCACAGAGAAATGTTGTCTGGAGAGGCATAGAAAATAGATATTCATATCATATTTAAAACTTGTGCATTGCATTGCAAAATAATACACATGAGGGAGGCTATAATACATGTAATCTTTTATATCACATCAACCAGACTGGCTTAAAATATCAAGACGGGCCTAAAAGTTACTCGACAAATTGTGCCAAACAAATTGGCTTCTTCTGTTGTGTTAAGCCTCTTGTACAATCTTACAGAATGGACTATTTAATGGAGCATGTACAACATTATCTCTGTTGTGTAACTTAACAAAATGTTCATAATCATTCATTATCATCCATTTTGCACATGAAAGTATGTGACCTATATATTAAAATAATAACATAATTTAACTTAAAGGGATGCTATTGTCACCAGAACCTTCTGCAGCTTAATGTAGAGATGTGTCTATAGTATGTCCCTGCAGGTTTTTTAATGTAAACTCTGCCTTTTCTTTTCTACCTAGGAACATTTCTAGTGGCAGTCTTTTAGATGGTCACTAGAGATGTTTCCCAGCTAAGTTCTGCACAGTGTGCAGCACTGGTGTTCAGTGTCTGCACGCTCTGCATTAAGGTGCTGTACATTCCATGTAGAGATAGATTGATTTAATGCAACTCTATGAGGAGATACTGATACAGCACATTTTGCTGTGCATGCGCAATAGCTTTCCAATGGGAAAGCATTGGATTGACAGAGATCATCAAGTTTGATAATCTCAGCCATGGTAGCAAAGCCAGCTGTGGCAGGACCAGCATGGGAAAAACTTGGTTTTAAAGTGAAACTCATCACAACAAGACTAACTAAATTGAATTCCCCATAGGGACCACAGCTAGATTGTTTTTTGTTTTGTTTTTTAGGTTTTTAAAATACTTTATATGTGTGTCTTAATTCATAATCCTACACTATATAACAAAAAAAGTAGCCACCAGTTATTAAATATAAAATATGTGTATCAGAAACCCCAACAGTAGTAAAATTGCACTTGAAAATAAACAGCCTTGTGTATTGCATGTTAAATACTCCTACAGAAAATGTATTGAATAGATAATGCATACTGTCTTATGTTTTTTTAATTTTTGCCAACATTTCTTTGAAAACACTTTTATGATTGTATGTTTTGCTACAATAAACCAGAATTATAGTAAAGTAACTGGTAGCTGCTGAACTTGAACAGCATAAATGTGCTTTTTTTTTTTTATTTTATTTTTTTTAACATGCTGAATCTTGCTTCCTCTTCTTCACCTCTTCATCTCTTTTCCCCTTAAGGTACCACAAGAGTCAGGCGATATATCTTGAGTCAAAGGACATTTCAAAACTCAGCTGTGTCATCAGTTCTGTAGGAACCAATGAGGTGAGGGCATACATTTTTTTTACAGTAAATAAAAAATATGCCGTTTCATCTATTAATGCACAGCTACACACGTAAATGTCTTGTTATAATGTGCTGCACTAGTTTAATCATGGTACCCAGATTAGTCTGCAAGAAACAAACAACTATTAAGTAATCCACATTACTCAAACATCATAACTGTAATCTTTATTATTAAACAGAAATGTCACAGCAATCATTGTTAAGGTTTAAAGTGGTAATGACCTATAGATAACTCCCTTGGTATTTTACCAACGTAACATTTTTTTATTTGTGTGACCTAATTGGAGGCACTCAAAGCATCACAATCTTATACTTATTTTGCAGGAATTGGTACGTGGCACCTAGGTAAAATATCAAACCATTATTAAACGGTTTGACTACTTACTGTGGCAACATATCCATTACAGTGTATTGTGGAGTTATGGTGCTTGGAGTGCTCCTTTACGGTACATGTGTCCCCTTATCTCCAGATTGTTAGTACATCCATAAAAAAGTAAAATAGGCTATCCGATCTTATTGTTTTATGCAATCCCCCACTACGTAGTGATATAGGAAAGGTCCACATCTGTCATGTCATAGTCTCCAGTTTCAAGGAAACCTTGATCAAAAATGCTCTTCCCTGTGTTTTAGAGACTGTTTGAAGCAATTCCTCCATATGATATATGTGGGAATACTTTATATCCTTATTAAATATATATATTGGTTAGTTACCACACACTCCATTAAAACATGCAGAAGATATGATCATCGACCAAATTAAGTTATTTGCAAACTACACACTGCATCCTAAATAAACCATGCTACTATAACCGACAATTGTAAAATATGTACTTTACAGGTAATAACGAACATAAAATTACACTGTATTACTATCTACAAAAAGCAATTTAAGGCTAATAGCCACCCAACTGTCCAGAGTACAAGTCTCTTAATTCTATGGAATGTTTGACAATAAAACCAATGTCAAGTGGTTAAAGCTAAGAAAACCTACTAGAGCAGGACATGCTTTGTGATTGGGTGTCCTTAATTAATCTTCTTCATTCAACACTTTCATAGCCTCCACAAATATTTTTGCATTTCTCTTGATTTTGCAGATATGGGTAAGAAAGAGCAGTGACAGCACAAAAATGAGGATTTACCTGGGCCAGCTACAAAAGGGCACATTTGTGATTCGCAGGCGTTCAGCAGCATGAATGCTGCCAGACTTTAACAGGCAAAATTTTCAAATAAAGAAACATCGTCCACAAAGTTGATGTTCTATGGTATTGAACATCATGGATTCAAACCCACATTTTATGTTGGGGAACATTCACTTACTGACTTTGCAAAAAGGTATCCAAGCAGCTGGTCTATTTTCCTAGAACACCTTTAGAGTTTGGACGAATTTTCCTCAAGGCAAATATACTCCATTGGATTTGGCGGAGACAATTCTTCACAGTGGGTAGACTCTTCTTGAAGATATCAAACCCTGACTTTACTCAGAGATGCTCTTCAGTAACCACCTTGTCTTACAAATCATAAAGCTACACAAACTGTCATATATATTTCCTGTAGGGAGGTTTGTGTTCCTAAGTCTCATTGATCTTTACAATTGGTTTGGAAAATGTAATCTGGTGCTGCTACACACGTTAGCCGTTTATTTTTAAACAAAATCACAGCAACATTAAAAGGTGTGTGTGTGTATATCTAGTAGAAATCATAGATGTATATTATAGTTTGTTTTATATTATATGCTCTTTTTTTATAAATGTCTTAGTGCTTCACATTTCCTATCCCTATACACATTACTGGAACAAGCCTTAGTTTTTAGTTAAAATGACAATGAACTATGGTATGCTCTTGTGCTTTTACACTCTTTTTGTTAGCTCATTCATTACAATCTCTGCTTCTTATTACCGTTTGGTACTGAGACATTTCAGGCCAATCAGAACAATGCCTTCATAGCACAAAATGTTTTGATAAGGCTAAACATCTCAGGAATTTCAAGGAAACAGATTTATTTTTTTTAATTATAATTCTTCTTTTATCAGTTTCTTCCCATTTTAACAATTCTGATAACCTAGAGGTTCTTGAAATTTCTGTAGTTCTCACTGTTTAAAGGAACCCTATATGATTAGATATTATTTTTAATGTCACTGTATCAGTGTTTTTGCTTTGTTACTGCTTGGATTTTTTGCAAGAGTCCCTGAGGGAGAAATACAGTACTTTACTGACAAGCTTGCATCAACATGTACGTTCTAGACCCTCTGGTATTTAAGAGGTAAATACTGCCTGGGATATTAAATGTTTTATTTAGTTTTTTTGTTAACAGAATCTTATTTGCATGTGTCATTGTTTTTCTTGATGTATAAAATACATGAGCAATATTTAAACCAGGTCATAGTTGGTTTTCTTTTGTCAAAATACAAATTTGAATATAAGATTATAAAGTAAACTAACCCTCTTTATTATTAAACAGTGTTGAATGTTCACTTATTTTCTTTCTTTATAAGAAGAGTGGTCAGTTTTCATACACTTTGAACAGTTACATTGGCAATGTATTACCTAAATACCTGTACCATTAAACCATTATGGTCATTTGCTTAACATTCCATTCCTTCTATACACCTGCCTTTCTTCTTGATTGGTTGTCCAATTTTCCTCACTGTGTCGATTTAATGTGAAAATGAGATGCTATAATTTTCACTAGGTGGTCAAAGGCGATGATTATGTGCATGTTAAATGAAGTACAACATTTACCACTTTTCTTTTTTTTTTTTATAAATTAGAGTTGTTATAATAAAAGATTTTGTTGAACAATAACAGCACCTATAAGAACAGCACAGTCCACCTTTACACATTCTGTACAAACCTCTGTCATAAAACATTTTGTTTTCATAGTTCATAGAAATTAAAGTGCTATTTTTTTTTTCATTAAAGGGCACAGTTTAATGTAGTGATTTTGGTGCAAAGACTGTCCTTGCAGTTTCTGCTTTAACACTGCCTGTTTTTACATTTGCCCCCAAGAACAGCTCTAGTGACTGTAACCCAAACATTAAATGCCCACTAATGCAATGAGAAGCATTGGATTGACGTAGTTCATCAGTAATGAAAATGATTTAAGGAGACTAAAACTTATGTATTTATTGGTTATGGAGAGACCCTAAATCAAAATTGTTAGGAAGATACAGGTTTGTGTTTCTAACGTTAGTTTCCCTTTGCAGTACACAATTTTCAGAGTTCTCTGAAACACCATAGGCACCTGCTCATTTTATTGCATGGCCATCAGCAGGTTTAAAAGAACACTAATTGAGAAAATAAATTAAAATGAATGTGTTCCTTAATACATTTATATTAATGGGGTCAAAGTGATATTCCACACACCTAAAGCACTTTTGAAGTTCTTTATGTGTGAAGAGAGTATCCTCTATTTCATTTTACAAAAAGTGCAGATTTCAATGGAAATTGGCACATTTATAAATGAACTTAAATTAACCTTGTTATGCCCCCCCGGCTATCAATCACACCACCAGACCTGTTAATTCCTGGTTGCTTTGCTCTATTCAAAAGGCAGGCAAATGGCCAGAGCTTCTCATTGAGCTGCACCGGAAAAACTGTGATTGGACAGCCACAGAAAAGTCGGCTGGGTTAGGAGAGGGTTGGCAAAAGGCGGAAGACCACATATTTGCAGCCCCTGCAAGCGGTTTTAGATACCAATGGAAAAAATGCATATTTAAATACATGCATGTTTTTATTTGGGGTATATCTTCTGAATTATTCCAATAAAATTCAAAGTGGCAGTCTTCACAAATGGGTAGTTGCCCATTACCCTCACAGGACAGGTAGCATTGAAAAGGTTAAAAAAAAAAAAAAAGGTCTAAACCACTCCAAGCATTCTAAAGGACAACTCCACCCTGAGCTCCCGTGTTTGCCTGCCCTAAGGACAGACAGGTCCGATAGAATTCTCTACCTACCCTTGGCAGAATAGGTTAAGCTATTAACATGTTTTGCATTTTGGACAGATGTGATGAGTGGACTGCAGCTTCTGGAGGACTCTGTGGCTTCTGTAAAGAATTGTTTGGCCTATTCCTTCTTGACCCAATGGCAGTCAGATTTATCCTTGGATCAAGCAGCTATTACCCTACATTGAAAAATTATATCCTTGAATATTCTGTTTTTCCAAGTATGCATCTAGTTGCTGTTTGAACATCTTCATGGAATCTGATAAAACCACTTCTTCAGGCAGAGAATTCCACATCCTTATTGTTCTTACAGTAAAAAAAAAAAAAACCTTTCCTTTATCATATCCCCTCTCAGGCGATGTTTTTCTAAACTTAAAAAAAACAAAACCCTTCTAGTGTCTCAATCCCCCAACCCCTCCATGTGTTTCAATATCCCTGTCTCAATCCCCCAGCCCCCCAATGTGTCTCAATGAACCATATGCCTCAATCCCCCAGCCCACAATGTGTCTCAATGAACCATATGCCTCAATCCCCCAGCCCCCCAATGTGTCTCAATGAACCATACGCCTCAATCCCCCAGCCCCCACGTCTCATTTCTACTCTTCCCCCACTCATGTTATTTATCCGCACCCTCCACCCCACACCCCCATATGTGCCAGCTCTCCTGCTTCTTCCTGTGTAGCCTGGCTGAGAAGACCATGGAAGAGGAGCTTGCTTCCCTCTCCCCATTCTGAAACAAGCTCCTCTCTGTCACTCTAAATACAGAGATCGGCAATGTGCTGTCCACTTGCCGGTCACCCAAATCCTGTGCCGCCTTGTGGGAGCGCCAGCCCTGTCCAAATGTTGAAAGTACCTTTTAAAATACAGAGGCATTGCTAAGTGTTTGCTTAGAGTATTATTTTATATACCTTGCAAGTAGCCTGCATGTGAAACACATATAATGGATTTGTAGTAGTCTCTATCTTGGTCTATGTTTGGTTCTGGCATGTATTGTGCTATGTTAATCACCCTATAATGATAGGTGTGACGTACCGCCTGGCACCCTGACTGGGTACCTCCGTCAAACGCTGGTTCCTAGTAATCCTTGAGTACCATAAGCACTGGGCACCATGACCACCGTAAACCCCACAAACCAACGCAGCTAGGATGGGCTCTCGCTGTCCACCCACCCTGGACCCAAGGCCAGGATCCAGCTTCCAGTGGGTAGACCTCTCCTAGTCCATGGATCAAAGCAGGCTTCTCTTACAAGAGCAATCGTAAACCAAGGGGGTATAGTGATCATAGCAATCCCCAAAGTGAATATAGCTCTCCAATCCCCCCCAAACATGAGCCTAGACTTCATGAAGGGGTAAAGCATTCTCTTTAATGGCAGTCACAACTGGCTTTATATGCAGGTCACCATGCAAGGGGTTTCCGGTTACATATTCAAGGGGCATTCCCCACTGGATCTGAGAGTAGACTACAGCAAAAACATACACATGATTACATTGGCTCTCAGGTCCAGGACACTCCCACATAAAACAAGATAATCCCTCATCTGTACCTGGGAAATAATTGAGTCAGGAACTGCACTAAGCTCAATTATCTCCTGGCACAGAAAACACACATTTTACAATACCCCCAAAGTACCCCTAAAACACATGGAAACCCCACACAAGTTATATCCCCTGATAGCCCCGATCTGGGGGACCAACATATCCAAGAATCAAATACAATATGTAGGGTAAATCTAGCTAGAGGATTTTCTATGCACTTTAGCTCACTTAAGCACTTTATTATCTCAAATTAGTGCAGTTTTACTTATATGCACTTTATTTGATTGAAGCACTTTAAACTGTGTGATATTGTGAAAGAACATTTTTTGTATTATATCCAAGCATCACCCAGATCGGTTCAGGGGTTCTGGATTTCAAATTTCGAAGTCCTGCTTTGACCGACCGCACATGAGGCTGCAGAGAATCAAGGCTTGCGGTCGGTCTAGTTCGTTGTTTAAAAAAAAACAAACAAACTACCAAACATAGTCAAGAGTCTTACCCTGGAGCTTGTTCACCTTGTTTGTGGGAAGTTTCCACCGAACAGTGCCCTTCTAAGTTGTGTAGAACCGAAAACAGGTGATCCTGGAAGTCCATCGTTCGTTCATGTGAACAGCGGCCACCCAGACGAACACTGTGGTGGAAAGTGTTACAAACTGGCAATTAGGTTTAACAAGCTCCCGGGTGGTCTCTGGTTCATGCCCCTGTTCAGTTCCCAAACCAAATATAAAATCCCACGAACCCACGAAGTTGGTTCACATAGTTTTTTAAAGGACCCATAGTCTTTTGGCAGGAGGCTGGCAAGCAGGCCCCTCCAATAACCCGTGACGAGGTTCCATTCGTCACAATAGCTAATGTGTTTTTACGATATGTGTGTCTATAAGTAAAAATACTTTAAACCAAACACATTAAAAATAACACTAGTGAAAATATGAATAAATAGAACAAATGCATTTCTATATTCTAAAAAACTGGAGAGAACACAAGATTCCTCCAAATCTTGATTTTATGTCTGATAAGTGCTAAATATGTATATTTACATATTATAACATTTGTATTTTGAGATCTGGAAATGCTTATTACTAACCATGTATCTTTTCTCACTCCACAGATACACATCAGGTATTAAAATTAGAACATAACCTGGAGGAGTGAACCAAGATAGTTGAATCAATGTAGATCTATAATCATAATAATAAACAGCACATAGCGTAATACAGTAAAATTAAAACAGAGTGAGTGATGTTTATATTAAACTCACAAACATAAGATGAAACAGGCTTCTCACCCCACCAGGGTTTGAAATGAATCAGAAAGCTGGTGGATCTCAGCAGTGGAAATCCTCAAATATTCCTTGGATAAGTAGAGGAAAAAGAGCCATACATAGTGAAGTACAATTAAAACCAAAAAGGAATTTATTAAGTTGCACTTACAAACAGGTAGAGAAGCTGGGCATATCTCCACATGAAGTGGAACCAAGCAACAGCGTGGTAGATCTTGAGATGCCAAAGGATTCCAGCAGTGAAAAGTTAAAACAAATATAAAACAAAATTAAAAGTCCATACAAAGTCCAAGATTTGATGTATCCAACACGTTTCGTCCAATAGGGGACTTTTTTCAAGGATCTGTAGTCGTTCCTCTTTGTGGGGACTTCTTATAATGTCAGTATATAATATAGCCCTGGGAGATTCTACCGGGGATAGGCTAGTCCTATGGCGGCGCTACATAGATGATGTACTGTTAATCTTGGTGGGAGACCCTGGAGATCTAAATAATTTTTTTTAAATGTTAATCAAAATGAATGTAATTTACATTTTACTTCTAAATCATATGCAACATCTGTAGATTTTTTAGATCTCACCATCTATTTTGATCAGAACCCACTAAAAACTAAAACGTATTTCAAACCCACTGATTGTAATACCGCTATAGAACACTCCAGTTCTCACCATCCTTCATGGCTTGCCAACATCCCCAAAAGCCAACTGGTCCACCTTAGAAGGTATTGTACCGATGATCACATTCATATAGAGAAGGGTTATGATTCGACTAAGTTGAAAACTGATGAACAAATGGTCTTAAAAACTGACAGATCCCTTCTTCAACAACATAATAATAATAAAAATTCAACATTAATAACAATAACAACAAATTCCAATTTGCTTTTATAACACAATTTAATGCTCAGGCAAAAATAATTGAAAAAGCACTCAAGAAACATTGGTATATCGAATTCAGTTAGCAGTCCCATCAGCCATGGATGGTACTATTTGTGATTCAGGAGGCAGGATCCACAGGCTCCTGTATGGTGGGTTCTCTAGGTGAAATTGTTCCCACCCTGTGTTTTAGCTTTGGCACATTCCATTTGTAATGACTGTGATTGTGATTTGTGAGATCCTGATTTTATTAAAGACACGGAGGCTCCTGTTATGCTTTCTCTTTCCTTTAATTTCCCTCAGCAGCTAAAGAGAGATGTATACAAAAGAGAAAAATGACATAACATTGCATAGTAACAGTGTTACCAATCAGCACCTAATATATAAGGAGTAGCACTCCATAACTCTTCCTCTTTCTTTGCAGCTCCCTCAGACCAGCTAAGTACATTCCTTGTTTCTAAATTACACAATTGCATTTTTATAACCGTAAGGCATTTTATGTTAGCGTAATTGCTACTTCGATGTGAGTGTTTTTTCTATTTGGGGAGTGTGCCAACTAGTTTACCCTCTATCATCTCTAGGGTGGCTTTCACCCCCTCCCTTACCTTGGGGACCCTTTTTTCCCCTGCCTCTCTCTCGGCAATCATTTGCCTGAAAGAGGGACGGCAACAGGGGTTCCCCCCTCGCTTTTCCAAGCCATTCCATCTCACTACCACGGGAAAACGCGGTTACCTGGACCCATCCGAATTTTTTTCGTTGCAAGTGGTTCAATGCATATAGTGCTGTTCGCGAAACTCCCGCGAACAGTGAACACCATTCGAATCCCGATAGCCGCGCATGCACAGTGCGCTCACGGCGGCCATTTTATTGGTTTTCTCCATCTTCCCTATTGGCGGCGGCTATCTTTTTACTCAAAAGAGCAGGATTCACAGTGTGGGTCCGGTTATTAGGCAGAACACGGGTCCTATTCCTCTGGCACACTCCCGGTCACTGGTATTGTTGAATTTGCCTGTATATATATATATATATATATATATATATATATATTGTGATTTTATTTGCTCATATTGACTCCTTCGCTTAGTGTGGTTGGATTAGGCAATCCTTACCTCACTTTTTCCAGTTTCTCCTTGTTGCTAACCTAATTGGGTTTTTTCCCTCAGGACCCTAAATGGCTCTGCTAGACTTTATACCTGTTTAGCACCCTTTTGGGGGTTCAATTCCTGCTTTTAATTTAGCATGCAGTCTGCTGGCGATGGGCCCTCTGGCCACCCTCTGCCACTGTTGGGGGCCTCCATCTCTGACCCCATTAGTGACGCCAATCTCATGGGTTCAGAAGAATTTCAAAGCCTGTTAGACGTAACAATGTCTAACTCCATTAGCAAGGTCATAACGGCGGCCATGGGAGCTATGTCCTCCACAATTACCCACTCTATCACACAGGCTCTGATGCAGGCACACCCTGCCCCTCTACCCCCTTGCAGATTCCTGCCACTTCTAGCGTAGCATTGCAGGGCCAGAAAGCCCTGAGCAAGCGTAAACACGCAAATGTCCCTGTTCACACCCAGGATGGTGCACATCAACAGCGCCACTGGCAAAGGGCAAAAACGTCCAGAAATTGGAAACGGTCAAGGGCCCAAGATATGATGTCCGATTCGGACAAGAGTGAGGAGGAGGGATCAGACAAACCATACTCTGATCCTTATGAGGACGAGATTTCTGAAGGCGAGGACTTTGCAGGGAAGCAATTACCATCCGCAACAACTAAAACAGCCCAAACGCCTGAGCTGTCAGACGTAACAGGGTCAGGCGAAATCCGGGACACGAAAGTGACCCCTTTGTTCGATCTGGATAACCTACGCCACTACCTGGTGCTGAGGGTTCATAAATCCCTCTCCCAAGAGGGTCGTAATAAGCAAAGGACTGAATACCCCCGACCTGTCATACCAGACATGGCAGCAAAGACTCCCGAGATGGACCCACAAATTGTCCAATCTTTAGCTAAAACCGGCTAGAAGCTGAAGAAGGGCATTGACTATTCGCTATGTAATTGTCAGGACAAATTCTTGGACACCCTGGGTCCGATTACAAAGTTATACGAACTGCTAGAAGCAGCGCAATCGGGTGAGACCCAATTATATTTTGAAGTGGCTTTTGGATGGCTACAGCAACTAGTGTGCATGGTCGGCAATGCCAATACGGCCATGTCCACAGAACGCAGGAAAGCAATTTTACTTAAAATAGAACCTAAATTAGCTAGTGTGGCTACCACGGAACCAGGAGCAGTCACTAAGGGTTTGCTATTTTGCGAGTCCTTTGTGAAGGACCTCAGAGCATATGTGAAGACTTTCACAGTGCTGGATAAAGCGCAGTCTTCAATTAACAGAGTTTTCCACCAAAAAGTTTTTGGTGGGGCCGGTAGAGGTAGGAGCCGTCTATCCGGCTGCAGTTCCTGGGGTTTTTCTAGACCGGGCAGAGGCTCCTTCAACCCACACAGACTGGTGCAAGAACCCACATATACTCCCTTTTTCCCTATTAGAGGACGACCTTGGAATGCCCGCGGCGGTCGGGGAACAACCCCAGGAGTACTGTTTATCCCCATTTTTCCCATATAAATGTGGGGGGAAGACTGGCTCTGTTTTACCAAGCCTGGGCTATGATCACGCCCGATACATGGGTATTAAAGACAATCCAGAGGTTTAGAATTAACTGCCTTACCCATACTGGACACCCCTCCGCAGGTGCTCAAAATGTCCAAAGTACATCATGACCTAATCCCCGTGGAGATCAGGGAATTGAGGTCAAAGAACACTATCGAGGAAGTCCCTCGAGATATGCCAGGGTTTGTGAGCAACCTATTTCTGGTGCCAAAAAAGGGTGGAGGCGTCCGACCGGTCATGAAAATATGAAAGGCATCCACTGCCTCCAAGACCTACTACTACCAATAGATTGGATGGTCAAACTCGACCTGAAGGATGCTCACCTGACAGTCCCCATGGCAGAGGACCACAGGGATCTACTACAATTCCAATAGGGAACGAAGAAATGGCGTTTCACATGCCTCCCCTGTGGCCTGTCCTCAGCCCCCTGGTGCTTCACGAAAGACCTGAAACCAGTGGTGGCCTTCCTGAGACTACACCAAATTTGACTAATTATATACTTAAACAATATCCTCCTACTTTCACAAACGTGAGAACAACTGACTGTCCATCTGACATGGACCATACATCTCCTTCAAAACCTAGGCTTTCTGGTGAACTGGGAAAAATCAGGACTCCAACCTTCCCAACATATCGCGTTCCTGGGATTTCGAGTAGGTCCTATGTCTCCTGACAGAGAATATATCAAATATCAAGAAGGAGATAAAACGGTTGATGAACCTCCCAAACATATCCTGCGACAGTTAGCGAGGGTCATCGGCTTGTTGGCCGCCTCCATCCAGGTGATTTTCCTGGGCCCATTACACTATTGGGCTTTGCAGAGACTAAAGGCATCCTGCTTAAGAAGTGGCCACTCATACGAGACACACATTTCACCAGACTAGGAATCCAGGGAAGAATTGACCTGGTGGCTGGCCCACATGGAAGCATGAAATGGGCGAGCAATATTCGGATGCACCCCAGATCTCGTGATAGAATCGTCTGCAAGCTCCACCGGAGGCAGATGGTCCACAGACTAATCCTTTCTGCATATGAATTGCCTGGAGCTGCTCGAAGCCTCTTTTGACATTCGCAGTCTCTCTCCCAACCACAACTCCTGTTCGATCCTCCTCAAGCTAGACAACGTTCTCACCGTCCGCTATATTAATCACCTGGGGGACACCAAATTACGAATCTTAGCGGTATTGGCTTGATATTTCTGGCATTATTGTCCACGACACAACATATACGTAACTGCAGAGCACATACCAGGTATGGAGAACTACACGGCGGACTGGAACTCCTGTTACCTGAGGGACATGGGGGATTGGAGACGTCAACCTGCTGTATTCAAAAAGATTACACGCCTCTTGGGACTACACATCCAGACTGAACACTCAAGCTGTGGCAGCCGATGCATTCCTTCAGGATCAGACCGCATGCCGCTCGTATGCCTTCCCTCCGTTCAATCTGATTGCTTGGACTCTGGCAAACCTGCGACAATGCAAAGGCACGATAGTCCTGATAACTCCATGCTGTTGTAAATGACGATAGACTATCCACGACTGCTACTGGACAACCCCTTCCTTCTGACCAATCCGGACAGGGAGAGTCACTGACTCATAGACCAGGGACTTGTAGGTCTCGTAGCATGGCTCATTTCCGGGGATCCTGGGAAATCACAGATGTTTTGCAAACAACTGCCCAACTCCTGGCAAATGCTTGGGCACCAGGAATGCAGCATTCCTATCACGCAGCATTGAAAACGTGGTCCGATTGGTGCCTGGAACGGTCAGTGGATCCTATATCAGCTACTGTGAAGATGGTGTTGAATTTTCTTACGCACTTGTTCGAATCAGGCAAGGCCTTTCGTACCGTCAACCTATACCGGTCAGCAATCCCAGCAGGACATGAAGGTTTAGATGGTCTTCCAATCGGGCAAAACCCAATGATCTGTCGCCTACTCAAGGGTATTCATTTTTCAAGCCCCCCAAAACCTAAATATGGATTATTTTTGGACGTGAATGTGGTTTTCAAACTACTAGACAGCTGGCCACTAAACGCCGAATTATCTCTGAAACAATTATCGGCCAAATTACTCATGCTTTTTTGTTTGCTCTCCTGCAAACGGGCATCTGACATCAGGGCTTTGGATTGGAAAGCCCGGTTGTTCACCCCAGAAGGAGCATCCTTCAATATCTCACGAAGGACGAAGTATGCGACCGAGAAAGTTTTTTACCCTAGATTACCAGGTCAACCAAATCTGTACCCGATTTTATGTCTGAAAGAATATGAGTTGCACACATCTCCGTTACGCCTGTCACAAGACGGCCCATTATTCATCTCATTCAAGAGACCTCACCAGTATCTACACCTACTCTCGCTTGCTGGGCTAAATGGTTGTTAGCCTCGGCCGGAGTTGATATCACGGTTTTCTCCTCTCGATCAGTCAGAGGCGCTATGGCTCGAAGGTGTCGACGATAGACTGTAGACTGGAAGACATATTAAAGGCTGCAGATTGGTCTACGGAATCCACTTTCCAAAACTTCTACTTTAGACCAATCCAACATTTCTCAGAATTAGTTGTAGCTCAGCTTTAAAATAGCATAATAGGAACCTCCTTGTCTTTAATAAAATTCCCAGATTTTACTATTAACATGACGTAAAATCATGATTTTATTAATGACATGGAGGCGAGTATTATTCCTTCCCACCCTCCCTAGGGTTGGGATATTGGGATGATCATGTTAAGGAACGACAACATAGATTAAGATATGTGATTAGAAGTACACATAGTAGGTTCAAGACATGAAGTCTCAGGTAAGACATTTAAGTAATTAAATCATATGAATAATAAAGTGTTTTTTCTTGATGATACCTCACAGTGTTTTCATATATACGTTAAAATCAAGTCCCGAATTGCTTTATTACCATTTTTCTCTTCTTTTTAGCTTAAATACATTTGTCAACATTCAGAGAGGGGGTTAAACCGTTACCCCATGGAGGATGGACATACGTCTAATACCCAGTTTTCCAGTTCAGTTCGGTTTTTACAGTTTGTCGGTTCTATTGGTCTTCGGATCGCTACAGAAAGAGGAAGAGTTATGGAGTGCTACACCTTATATATTAGGTGCTAGGTGCTGATTGGTAGCACTGTTACTATGCAATGCTATGTTAATTTTCTCTCTTGTATACATCTCTCTTTTGCTGCTGAGGGAAATTAAAGGAAAAAAAGAGAAAGCATAATACTCGCCTCAGTGTCTTTAATAAAATCACAACTTTCCCTATTTTTTTTTCAAAAATATATTTCCTTCTATTAGCTTGTCATTTAGTGGGGAGCTCAGGGTGGCGTTTCCCTTTATAAGGCAAGGAGGGGAGGAGATTATGGCTGGGGGCCTGCATTTTTTTCACCTTGTCAATGCTCCCTGTTTTGTGAGACAGGAATAAGCAACTACCCATTTTTGAAGACTACCTGTAAGTAAAATCAGTCAAACTGGAACAGCATACAATAAATCCTTCCCCCAATAATGAGACGACACTTCACTTTGAGGGTTAAACCAGGAACTCTTGTGCTGGCACACCCAGCCTGGTTTTTATTACAGCCTTTCACATACAGGACTGCCCACAGGGAGGTATAAAACAACCAATCACATATCAGTTACATCCCACATATTCCCTCCCCTTATCCTGAGAGGAAACTCAATTACACATACAGTTAAAACATACTTTCTAGCCAACTTTTATAACTTTAAAACCATACATCACATTCACATAAAATTACATATTCACAATCAATCCATTCAGGGGAACAACATATTAAAAAATGGCATGAATCCGACCAGGGGTTCAAAAGTTAGTAAAAGTTTCTTTTGGGCCCTGGCTGGCACATGGCTATCTGACTCAAACAGGTTTTACAGAGCCCTCTATCCTGGAGACAATGGGGGAAAGTAATCCAATTATCCAGGGATAGAGGCAGACTCCATTGAGCACATGGTTGCAAAAAGACATAAAACACTTTAAAATACATAAAGTCACCTTTTACACATAACACACAGACATTTCACATATCCCCAGATAGCTGAGATCTGAGCGCACAAAACTACCGAATAGCGCTCAGATCCTATTCACACAGTTCAATTGCCATGGAGCCGAAGTCTTTAACTAAACGAATGGGCTCCATGGCATAGCTATCTGGGTTAACACATTTACATAAAGTCTGGTCCATAGTCCAAAGGCAAGAGGCGGGCAAGCAGCCCCCTCCAAGGACACGTGGCGAGGCCGGTTTCGCCACACAGAGCCACTCTGGCACCAAATTTTAAATCAGCCAAACTATTCAAAGGCTGACCTTACTGACTACAGGGTATATGTCAGATCAGGAGGCATGCCTCTTTGACTTTAAAGATAAAACAACACTCTGGAAGGAATTAGTTAATTGGCTAATCTTTCAATTTTACATTTTATTTTATTTTCCATGATGTCTAGCCCAGTACCCTCACAGTAAGGGGAAAAAAGTGTCTCAGCTCCACCTCCTCCAAAAAAGGACACACAAAAGTCTAAACATTTAGTGTGTGCAGACTGTGCAATATCACTCCCAGATGGTTGCAAAAATAAATATTGTAAACAATGCTCAAAGGAATCTAAGCAAAAGGAAATGTCATCATTCTTGGCATGGTTTCAAGATAAGTTACAACAAAGTTGTGCTGAATTTAATGAGGCAGCATCACAGAAAACGTCTGCTGGAGTCAGAAGTCTTGTTAGAGGGAAAAAAAGAGACATAGCTCTCCATCTACCTCTGAATTATCCTCTGGGGAGTGTTCACGGAATTGAGATGCAACAGATTCAGTGATTAAAGATCCAGACAAAGAAACAGGTTTTCCATTCCAACATATGAGATTACCACATTTATAAACGAAGTTTGCAAAACTTTGGAAATTCAGGTTTTCCAATTCAAGACTGAAATTTGGATATGAAGAAAAAAGAATGGAAACACCCATAAAAACTTGCATTAAGCTCAATTTAAAACCTATATGAAATCTCACATGAAAAAAGAAAAATGGAAAATCA